GGAAAAAGAAAATGGTCAGATTGTTTTCAGATAGTTGTTTAAATAAATTTAGATAAGGCTAACAATATTTTTGACAGTGTTAGTTATATTGTAATTGTAAAGGAATCTAACCTATATAAAAGCTATTGGGAATTTTGTTTGTTCATTGTTGAAAGTTAAACACAAAGCTACGCAATGGGCTATCTGTGCTCTGCCCACCACGGGTATCGAAACCCGGTGTCTAGCGCAGACAGTAGGAGGAGTCATAAAAGCCAAAATTCATTTATCCAGATAAAATAGTTAGATTACTGTCTGCTCATTACGATTTTAGTGAGGGAGGTGCAAGGGGGCTGTGAGGGGGTGCCATGAAACCTAATAAGTGAAGTGAGTGTTGGTACAATAAGTCAAAAGTAAATACGTAGTATGGGACCACCTAGCCTAGAGACAAGTGCTAAAAATTTATCATGAAAGTAAAAATATCGATTCAGTTTTAAACTTTAATCGTTTTTCAATTAAGCTATTTTCTGTTATATCAACAACGTTTTTAATAAAAAGGAAAAACAAAACATCTCTTTAATCAACCGAGACTCTAAATTAACAAATCAACAAATACTTTTCCAGTTTTGTGGTCTATACATTTGATTTTATACTTTCAGTACATAGACTAACAACAATATTAGGTTATACTTTTGTTGTTAAGCAACCTTACTTAAAAGCCATTGTTGGAACATAGTGTAACGAAAAAGCACTGGGTTTTCTATATATATATTAGAAATTAGTAATTTAACTGATTCTACAAATAATTATTTTATGAATATCCCACAAATTCATTTTATGAAGGATCTTAATTTGGATTGGCTCACAAAGGAATTTACTGACATTTGACTGCCTCGACTGCACTTTTTTGCCTCTTTGTTGGGTGAAGCTTGATTTTGCAAACTTTATATCATTCAGTTAGCTTTGAAATGTGAGGTTATGGTATAATATGGGGTAAGGATAGTAGTACTTGCCCCATCATTTTTGATAAGGCTATACATCAGTATTATATATAGTAATTAGTATTACTATTAGTTGTATAGAGACTTGTAATAAGTATGTCAATGAATACATCTAAAAATTCTGTGAGCTTTATAACTAGCAACAGAGCACTGCTTCAATGACCATATTTCCAAACCAAAACAGTCCAGCCTTTGACCCTTATTTCAAAATGGCTATTACAAATTTGAAATAATTTAACTTTTACTTGACTTGCTTTAAATTTGTTGAACTTTTCCACAATATTTCCAAATATACTAACATTGGTGTTGTTTATGAAATAGGTTCAACTACTTTTTTTGGTGGTACACAAAACAAATGAGTAAAAATAGTCAAATTATACATAAAAAAAAATCTTTAATTATTCATTTTATTCAATTCATCTTAAAATAAGCTACTTCATACTTGGATTTATTTAAGAATTCAAAACACTTCCAAACATACTGATTTTAGGTTTAAGCATTACTTGGAAACTTGTTAGATGTATTTTTGTGAAGAATGAATTGAATGAAAATGTTTTGATTTTTTCATTAAATGTTCACAAAATTCAGTACCTGACTGTGTAAAGTGTGTTTTGACAACTGTAATTAAAGGTCTTTTATCAAATATTTGTCCAAGTTATGAATTATTGTGTAGTAGCTTTTAATGTCTTAAATACAACTAGAAATACCTAAGAACTTTTTAATTTCTCTAATTCAATTTACCAGTTTTTATACAACCTGTACTGATGTGGTTTTCTTATATAGTTTCATATAGTAAGTGTTTTTTTAAGTCCAAGTTGACTTGACTTTTGTTTAGATAACAAGTAAGAGAAGATAACAGATTAGTGAAGTACCTAGCCATTATCTACTGTCCTGTCATAAACAAAAGAAAGGGGCTCTTGTGTCTGATCTTTGATCTCCTTTAAAACTGTAGGAGAAATATTTTCTGGCCTCAGTGCTTTATCTGGTTTTATTATCCCAGTCTTTCTGTTTACCAACAAGAGATTAATATTTACTTAATTCATACTTTTAGTGTGTTGGTGAAGTGGTACTTTTGGCTAATTTTACAATTGTATGTTTAAAATAATATATCATTGACTTTTGTAGAAAGATGTAATAACTAACTTTTATACTTAATGTTTTAAATGATACTACCAGTAGAGTTAACCAGTCACTACAATAACTATTAACATTGACTTATTTTACCTTTGTACAAAATTCACACCCAGTAACAATTTATTTGGACGCTCTTTAACATTACCCAGTGGAAGCGTAAGCGACATTAAGGTTTTGTTTATTTTGTACTACAAAATACATAACTAGGGTGTTGAAACCTTTTTTTCAGAGGACTTTTTTTTATGGTTCGAAAGGATCTACATTTAAATAACATTTCTTGGCACAGTTTATAATTACAATGTATATCTTTCAAAAGGTGTTGATAAAGTAATTAATTATTAAGTTCTTGTGGAGTTATTGAAAAAGTAAAGATTGTAAAAAATTGGCTTAAATGTAGAAAGCATGTAATAGTGATAGTCATTTTTTGTAATTAGGAGAATTGGATCTGTAAGGAACCTGTTTTGGTGTTTATTGTTTGTGTCATTAATATGTAAATGTTATTAGAAAGTAATGTTTTGTACGTTTCACAGAGAACGGCTCTTGTACTTAAAAGGATATTGACAGTCAAGGCAGAATACAGGGAATTAGTTTTAATATCAAGAAGTATAAGGTTATGCAATTGAGAAAATAATGTGTTTTTTTTTGGGGGGGGGGAAATATAATTAGGAAAAGCATTTCTTTTGTTTGGGGGAAAAATATAACTGATGATAAAAGTCCAATGCCTTCAGCAGAGTGTATAAAAATCTAATAGTAATAGTTAGAAGATTATCAGAAAGTTTTTATAAAACTAACGAGGCCTCATTTGGAGTATTATATCAACATAGTGTAGTGTGCAAAAGGATTCTAAAATGGTACTCAATTGTAGAAAGTTGAGATATGGGAAAAGACATCTTTTGGATTTGCTTCCTCTGGATCACAAAATAATTTCAGAATTTTTAGGTGTTTTGGAAATTTGAATGATGTGTTAGAATAACAGACTTGATATTAATAGCTCTGTAAGTCTAGATAGAAATGTTTTCCTTCATCAGTATATTTCTTATTAGTTATGAGCTTGTGATACAGGTTACCTGACGACATTGTCAGTTTTATATTTCTCACTGTTTGTTGTATAACTATATCAACGTGAAGACTTACATTTAATTTAAATGTTTAGATGTGGGCATGATAGGCTTAATAATTTATTTTCACATATAAACTGTGTTGACTTTTAAATACTTTGTTTTTCAGAATCCTGAAGTGATTGAAATACCTGAAACATCTGCGGGTGAGTGAGAAAATTAATCTCCTTTCTTTTTAAAAGTGGTCAGGAATCATAAAATTAAATTCACAAAACCACCTGTGGTAATTTAAAGAAATAGTATATTCTAGACCTTGTATCCTATGATTGATATTACATGGGTTTCTTTAACTGTGATTCTAGAACCTGTATCTTATGATAGATATTACCTGGGTTTCTTTAACTGTGATTTTATAACCTGTATCCTGTGATAGATATCACATGGGTTTCTCTAACTGTGATTCTATAACCTGTATCCTGTGATTGATATTACATGGGTTTCTTTAACTGTGATTATATAACCTGTATCCTGTGATTGATAATACAAGGTCTAGAATCACAGTTAAAGAAACCCAGTAATATCTATCACAGGCATACAGGTTATAGAATCACAGTTAAAGAAACCCAGGTAACCTGTGATTGATATTACCTGG